GGCTTAACATGGCAAAGTGGCTTAGATCACACAGCCAGTGCACTGGCAGAGCTGGGATGGGAGCCCAGGTCTGCCTGAGCTGGAGCCCCCTCTCCCACTCCATCCTGCGCTGTCTCCCTCATCTGTGCCCTGTTGTGGATCACTGGACTAGCTCCACAGCAGCCTAATTAGAAATCAGTAGGCTTGGCTTGGACATTCCAGGCACCCAGGAATGAAAAGTTAAATTAAGATGCAATTGGAAGGTGAAATTGCAAGATAATTACTCTTGCAACATATGGTTATGAGAGTTCTAGGGGGAGTATAGTGAACTGCAGCTAAAACAGACTTGGGAACTGAAGATGGGAATGTCAGGACATCATAAGAAGAGCCATGAGATTAAAAGATGTGGCCAGCCAGAGCAAACCAGACTGACTGTTTGGTCCAATCCCCTCATTCTACAGATGAGACAACTGAGGCACAGAAGGGGAAGGGAATGGCCCAAGGTAATACCTCCAGTTAATGGCAGAGGGAGGAGTAGGGACCAGGGCTCCTGACTCCTCATCCAGTGCTCCATGCAGTAGCCTTTCTAATTGAACTTCTGCATAGCTGACAAGGGAGCAGCAAACATGCACGTATGAGTGACAGATATTTAATTAAAATATAGAGAGAAAATATAAACTGGTACCAGGAGGCTGGTTGGGGATGATTTCTATCACCAGAAACTGTTCAGAATCTCTTTCTCCTGTCACTGTGGTTCCCCCCCTCCCTCCTTATCTCTTGGCATGTGGGCTCAAAAGGTGTTCTGCATTTGTGTCATCCTCAGGCATGGCCAGGGAGTCTTAGGCATTAGTAACTCAGGGTGGGGAGGAAATAACCTCTGGGCTCTGTGATACAGAAAGAGGGACTCCAGAGGAGCTCAGGAGACCCCAAAGGGCTATATCTATGCTGGATTCTGGAAAGTTAACCCCAAGGAGGTCTGATTTAGCCTGCAATTTAACCTCAGTGTACTGCAAAGCTCATCAAACTGGACTCTGTCCAGCTCCCAAAGAGCTTTGCATTTACCTGCCTTCAGGCAGTCCCTGCAGAAGCTGTTCCCTTGACACGGAATGCACTATCCCCAGTCACTTTTTCAGTTGTGAAGATTGCCCGGTCCTTCCATATGCACTCAGTACTCTCTTGCCTGGGTCTTCTCAGGTAGAATTGGTCTGAGACATCGGGGGCTGCATCTGGTTTCTTATGTGATGAGGGATGGGCAGGCGGGAGCAGAGCTGGAAGCTTTCACACTCTCTTGATTTTTTTTTTTTTTTTTTTTCCCCCCTGTTTAGTCTGTTTGCTGGCTGGAGCCATCAGGACACCCCCCTTGGCCCTATTCTCTTCTCTGTTCCTACTCATGCCTTAAATTCCATCTCCATGATGGCTGCCTCCAGCGAGACCTCTCCCCAGAACCAAAGCCCACTTGACATCTCCACCCAGGCATGTAACAGGTAACTTGTACTTGATACGTGCAAAGTGAAATTGTGGCTTTCCCTCCCCAATAGCTGCTGTTTTCCCCATTTTTACTTCACCTTTCTTGTTGCTCAGAGTCAAACCTTGGTGTCATTCCGACTTTTCACTTGCTTTTATATCCCACGTCCAAACCACCAGCAGATCCCCTCAGCTCTACTTTTGTATTTGGTCCCTGACTCCTTTGCACCCAAGCCTGCTCTGAGGCTCCATCATCTTAGAACCTCCCCACAGGTCTCCCTGCTGCCTTCCTCACCATTTCAGTTTATTTCAGCACATTAGCTGGAGTGTGTATGTTGTCCTACTCAAACCCCTGCAGAGGCTTCTCACATCACTCTGAGTCAAAGCCTGAGTCCTCTCATGGTCTACAAGGAGCTGCATGATCCGCACCCTCCCCTCTGGTCTCATCTGCTTCTCTCTCTCCCTTGCTCACTTTCATGTCCTCTATCTTGGTCATTCTATTTAAAATTGCTCCTCCCGACTCCTAATCTTTCTCCATAGACCTTATTTTCATCTAATTTACGCTATGTAGTGTATTTACCTTTTTTCTTGCAGATCTCCCATCACCTCCCAGTATATATAGTCCCCAAGGGCAGAGCCTTTGTTTGTGTCCAAAAGAATCTAGATGAGGCCCTGCTATATAGGTTTTGTTCAACAAATATTTATTTAATGGTATTGGACTGCAGGAAATTGAATGGGAGCAGATTAAAGACAGCCCACCAATGGGCTGAGCCCTGGACCCAGCCTGATATAATTTCTTACTTCAGTAGCTGTCTCTGGTCGCACAGGCCTCAGTTTTCCCTTCATTTTAGCCTTCTGCATTACTAGATGCCAGGATCCCTGAGTCTCCACTGTAGCGGAAATGCTCTGTGGCAGCAAAGTGGAGACAGAGGGTCCAGTGACGGGACCTGGAAGCAGGAAACCCATGTTCTACCTAGGTCTTGTGGTGGACTTGCTTACCCTGTCTGTGCCTCAGTTTCTTCATCTTAAGTAAAGGGTCTGGTTCTAGTACCCCTTGATCTGAGAGTAGAGGCAGGTGAAGAATTGTGTGTTCCAGGGCTGGGAGCACAGGTGGCCACTGAGTCCTTGTCATTCCTAGAGACTCCTGTGGAAAAGGCATTTTCTTGCAGAGTCACGCCTCAGACACCCACAATAACCTTTCCTGAGAAGACAGTGCCCACAGATCAATAGCTTGATTGGATGAAAAATGGGGTGGGGGGAGGAGCAATGTAGCCAGGGTGATAGTCATTTTTCATGGCCTGTCTGTCGCTCTGTTATGTCTCATGGCACCCATGTGAAATGCCACCTGTTAAGGTTGAGAAATGGGAATCCCCACCCCCAAAGAATAATTTAATGCCAACTCCTAACACCAGAAAATGAGAGCTTGAAGCTAATACTACATAATGCATGTATATTTCCGTGTAGAATAAAACATACCAGGAGATTTGGGGCAGGCAAAGATTGAAAGATTGACTTTATTTGGACAATAAGAGCTACTGTCTATTGAGTATAGACCTGCTATTAAGCACTTTTACTATGTATCTTTTAATCTTTATAACAACCCCTTGAAGGTAGGTGCTGTGTCACACCCATTTTACAGATGAGGAAACTGAGGCAGACAACCAAGTTCATTAGATTTATGTGAATGAATAGAATCCGGAGTATCTGGACTTTGTAATCTGGTATTATTGCTATGCCAAGCCTTTTTTTATTTCCTTTTGGACCTCAGCTGAATTTCATGTGGTTCTACTAGCCTGGGGCAGATGAAATAAACTCTGGCTTCAGATGTATTGAAATTAAGTTGCCAATGGGACAATCTCAGGGAAATGTCTAAAAGCACTTGAAGAGCTGAGCTAGAAAGCATCATAGCAACCGGCCACATGTGGCCAGTGAGCACTCGAAATGTGTCCGGTGCGAATTGAGATGTGTTGAAAATGTAAAATATATATTAGATTGAGAAGACTTGCTATGAAAATCAGAACTTCAAAGCTCTAATAGATTTTATGTAGTGATTATATATTGAAATGATAAATTTGGGTATATTGAGTTGAATGAAACATAAAATTAAATCACATTCACCTTTTTATACTTTTTAATATGGCTACAAGGACATTAAAAATTACATATATACTGACCTGTGTGGCTCACATGATATTACAATTGAACAGCTCTGGATTAGAGACAGCTGCTGTGAACACGCTGCAAGGATATAGCTGAACGTAAGATGCCTGGGAAAAGAAGAGTATCTTCCTTCCTGTCACGAGCCAGGCTGGCATTTTGAGGCCATCTTGAGTCATACTTGAGCCGTGGTAGGAATGGAACTGGGAGATGAGACCAGGCTAAAAGAGAAACATGGGGGTCCTAATCCACAGGCAGTGGGATCCAGGCAGTACTTCTGTGGAGGGGATGTCAGGACAGAATTGCATTCCTGAAAAGCTCTTTCTGCCCACAGTGTGGAAGTGGGTGTAGGGAGTCTGGCAAGAGGCAAGGAGGCCAGGGAGGAGGCATGGAGATGCCGAGTTTGCAAGTTGGCACTACTCCTTCAACCCTTGCCCTTGTCCCAGTCCTTTCCATCCTGGAAAACGTAGCCGAATTGTCATCTTCTCTAAGAGGTCCTCCCTGGGCACGGCAGCCCACATCTCCCTAATTCCTGCTGCATGTGGAGTCTGCACCACTTCCTCAACATTCACAAAGAAGGAAATCTTTTGTAAATATCCATGTTGGCAAATACTGTATAATTTTGCCCATGAAATTTTGGTGCAGGGCTGGCTGGGCACAATCTTGAATCATGTAGATTTCAGACGGGTCCCTCAGGACCCTCAACAGTATCAGACATCACTGTTTCAGGCCTTTGGTGTGTCATTCTTGAAGGGATGAGATAATGGCTGTCTAGTCATAACATTCTCAGGGTCTGTGGCCCTATTTTAACTTGTTCTAACTCAATTGTGAGTACAGGGGTATTCTTTTCTGCAGTGTTACTGCATGTAGATAGCCAGTATCCAATGAATTAGCTGCAGGAGGACGGGAAGCTCCCTGAGGACATCAGGGATAGTGATCGTCGGGGTCAACCTTTTCTCATGGTCACTTGGCACATAGAAAGTGTTTAATGAATAGCTGTTGGATGAATGAATTCAATGATCTGGATACTTTAATTGAGGAGCACAGGGTATTTTTTCACTTCATTTTCATTAGGTGGACAGCAGTTGGAGGATAGGTCTGTTTAATGTTTACTGGGAGATCAAGGGTTTCTAAAGGTTGTCGAGGGGATAAACTTAAAACAAAACGTAGCAGATGGGGTTCACATGGGTTGGGGAAACCATCTCCAGTGTTGGTGACTCTGGATGGAAATCAAATTAATTGTACTTTTATCCCCTCCTCCTTTTCTCTGTTTTTGTCCTTTAGATTCACCAAAACCACCCCTTGCTCCCAAGCCCAAGACTACCAGTCCACTCACACCAAGGACTGCACCCAAATTCCCATCATCATCCAGGCCTAATAGTCTTCACAGCCCAAACTTCATGTTCAGGGGACCAAAACCCCCCATTGCCCCGAAGCCCAGACTGGCTGCCCCCAGTGAGTGGAGAGCCAGTGTGTACATGAACAATAGCGTAAACAAATGCAGCAACGGGAGGCTGCTTTGCATAGACAGGGGGCTTGAGGAAGGGCACCGGCCCAACCCAGAGTGCTCGGAGTCAGAGACAGACGAGGATTACATCGTGGCCCCTGGGGGCCCGCTGAGCGAGGACGAGCCCAAAGATGGGGGCGATGCAGAGAATGAGGGCATGGCGCCTCCGGCTGCTTCTGGGGAAGAGGAAGAGGAACATGAGCAGAGAGGTGAGGCCCGTGGCATGGAGGGGGCAGGAGCTGGTGAGAACTCAGCTGCCCCGGCGGACGGGGTACCGAGCAGGGAGGGTGAGGAAGATGTAGACCACACTCCTGAAAATGGGCAAGAGGGCTGTGACGATGATGCGGGGACAGAGGAGCAGGTGTCCACAAGTGAGGAGGAAGAGAAGCTGGTGAAAGAACACAACGCGTACAACCTGGAGAGCGGGGATGGAGAGGAGGATTTTCCCAGCAATATCATCCTAACTTTCGCCGATGTAGGGGACCCAGCAACCCCTGGTGAGGAGCCTGGGCCCCTCAAAGCCCCCATGGAGGTAGAAGAGGATGGTGAGGAAGGCTGTGTCAACACCAAACCAGGGGGGACAGATGAGGGCGTGGATCCCGACAGGCCTCCCAAGGACACTGAACAGAATGCTGACGAGGCCAGTGAGGAGCCCCCTGAGAATGAGGAGTTGGCCTTGGGTGTCCAGGAGGCAGAGATGGGCCCAGGTGACCCTGAAATCTCTAAGGAGAAGTGTGAAGACATCACGGGTATTGGGGACCAGGTTGACCAGGATGAGCCATCTGACCGTGATGATGAAACCAATCATGAAGAAATAGCAGCAGCCTCCCAAGAGGTGCTAGGAGACCCTCATGATGGCGAGGACCCAGTGCAGGCCCAGCCTGCCGAGGACAGCTGCCACATCGTACCCTTTGAGAGCGACTGTCTTGACGACTTGGTGACTTCACTCACAGGAAGCCCTTACGAGTTCTTCCCGACTGAGAGCACCTCTTTTTGTAGCGAGAACTATTCTCCTCTTTCTGAGTCAGCAAAAGGCTTAGAATCAGAGCAGGAACCAAAGTCAGGGGTCTGTGCTGGAACTTCACGTGGCCAGCAGGACTCCCTACAGGATGGAGCTGAGGAAGGCCCCTTTGTCCCTGACGTGGTGGTCATGCCTGAGGAGGAGGATGCTGCAGATGACTCGCTCACCAACCCCTACGTGATGGGAGTTGGCCTGATGTGCCAGGCTGACCCTGGAGAAGGAGAGTGTTCTGAGATGCAGGCCTCATCAGATGTTCCTAGTGGTTATGGCACAAAGGAAGACATGAACTCTGATGCTGAGGGCAGCCTGGTCCCTACTGACAGGAAGAACATTGCCACGAGGGCCCGGCCTCACTCTGGAAAGGTGGCAGGCTATGTCCCAGAAACTGTCCCTGAAGAAACTGGACCAGAAGCTGGCTCATCTGCCATGGGCATCAGAGGTGCCCCTGAGGATGCAAGGAAGACAGTTTTGTCATTGGAGGGAAAGCCCCAGGAAGCCAGCAGGGCCTTGCCAGCAAAGCCCAGAGCCTTCACCTTATACCCTAGGTCATTCTCTGTGGAAGGCCGAGAGATCCCGGTCTCTGTGTACCGGGAGCCAGAGGGTTCTGGATTAGACGACCATAGGATGAAAAGGAAAGAGGACAACCTTTCTCTGCCGTGTGTGATCGGCTCTTCTGGGAGTTTCTCCCAGAGAAACCACCTTCCGTCCAGCGGCACGTCAACACCATCTTCTGTGGTCGACATTCCACCCCCTTTTGATCTGGCCTGCATCACCAAAAAGCCCATCACGAAGAGTTCTCCCTCGCTCCTGGTCGAGAGCGACTCCCCGGACAAGCACACCAAGAAGAAGAAGTCATCCTTTAAGCGGTTCCTGGCCCTGACATTTAAAAAGAAGACGGAGAACAAAGTGCATGTGGATGTTAACGTGTCTTCCTCCAGGTCCTCTTCAGAATCCAGCTACCACGGGCCTTCCAGGATTCTGGAAATTGACCGGCGAAGCCTCAGTAACTCCCCTCAGCTTAAGTCTCGGACTGGGAAGCTCCGGGCTTCTGAATCCCCTTCATCCCTCATCTTTTATAGAGATGGCAAGAGGAAAGGCGTGCCCTTCAGCAGGACGGTGTCTAGAGTAGAGTCCTTCGAAGATCGCTCCCGCCCACCCTTTCTGCCCCTGCCGCTGACCAAGCCACGATCCATTTCATTCCCCAATGCTGACACTTCAGACTATGAGAACATTCCAGCCATGAACTCTGACTATGAAAATATCCAGATTCCACCCCGGAGGCCTGCAAGGGCAGGCACATTTACGAAGCTGTTTGAAGATCAGAGCAGAGCTTTATCCACAGCAAACGAAAATGACGGCTACGTGGACATGAGCAGCTTCAATACCTTTGAGAGCAAACAGCAGAGCACCGACCTGGAAGCAGAAAGGTACCGTGAAATTATATTTCTTTTCTTGTTTGGCAAATGTAGCTATTCCAGAGGCAGTGTAGGTGCGGGGCAGGGTGAATAGAGGGATGCTTGCTTTGTAGCCTCAGGCTTTATTTTTTTTGCAGGTATGTGAGTTGAGGTGAGTGGCTTTACCTCTCTGAACCTCATTTAAATAGGACTCATGCTACCTCGTGGCAGAACGTTTAAGAACATCGGAGCAATAACAGGGCATTGTGGTGGGCACCTTTAGTCCCAGCTACTGGGAGGCTGAGGCAAGAGAATCCCTTGAGCCTAAGAGTTTGAGGTTGCTGTGAGCTGTGAGGCCATAGCACTCTACTGGGGGTGACATAGTGAGACTATGTCTCGAAAAAAAGAAAAAATCAGAGTAGACTTTCTTTGTGGAATATGGAAGCCTGATATAAAATGCCAAATACAGTAAAATGCAAACATTTTTATTTACATTATTTGAGGGATATTTTTCCTTCTTCTAGGTATATGGCTTTGCTATTTCTCTCTGGAAGAGTCAGAGAGAAGTTTCTGGTATCTTGCCAAACTATCTTTCACCATCAGGAAAATACCCTAAATCAGTGGTTCTCAACTTTCCTAATGCTGCAACCCTTTAATACAGTTCTTCATGTTGTGGTGACCCCAACCATAAAATTATTTGTTTTGCTACTTTATAACTGTAAGTTTTGCTACTGTTATGAATCATAATGTGAATATCTGATATTAGGCAACCCCTGTGAAAGGGTCGTTCAACTCCCAAAGGGGTTGTGACCCACAGGTTGAGAACCGCTGCCCTAAATTGAGATTGATACCTTTTTATTGTTTCAATATATACTATATTTAACAGAGAACTAAAAAAGACAATTTATTTAAATTGTTTAAAGAGCTACCGGTGCCTTGAGCTAAATATCTGGAAGTCTTTAAGAAGTACATCCAAGCTGATTATTATTATTTTTTTAGACTAATTCACTTTGGAAGTGGAAGTGAAGCCCTGAAGTTATTGAACAGTAGTGGAGGCTTTCTGACCCCACTTGCCCAAGACTGACTGGATGCCCTTCATTGTCATCCGGAGAGAATAATTGCCAAATCTTCTTGTTCTCTGTGCATTGTGGATGCAGTTTAAAGGCAATGCATTCATCTACAACTATTTACGCTCTTTGGGGGCACCTGATCTGAATTAATGCAAAGCCAAAATGGTTGTGATTTTAAAAGGAATCCTCTGATTCTTTCTTCCCATGGATGGGAACTTAAGCCAGTCCTATACTGTTCTTGCTGCCAGGAATTCCCTTGGGAACCTGCAATAGTGACTCAAGACGGATGATGCAGAATTAGCCTTAGCTGTTGCTGGAGCATAAATGCTAGGAAGTATTTGCATGGTTTATTCTCTTGGGTATTTTGTACGTGATCCCCACCCCCAACCCTGGTCCCAGCTTCTCCCTACCCCAGGTCTGGGTGAGGCTATAAGTTCTTTCTAGGATAAAAAAGATTTGTTTGCCAGAGCAAAGGTACATACCACCCCTGCCCAAGGGATCAAGTTTAATTTGGAGAATGTGGACGTGTGGGAGCTGCACCCGGAGTCGAGGGGCAGAGCTGGCAGATTCCTTGTATGTGTAACTATCAGCAGGGGTCAAGACCCCTGGACAAGACCTAGCCCTAGCTGAGTGCCTCCCAGTGCTAATGAAAACAGCACCGAGCTTGAAAAGAATAAGCTTTCCATTCAGGAAAGAGCTCGAAGGCCGTATGGTCAACCCTCCCACCTTTGACTAGTAGTTACCCAGTCTGCACTTTAAATCCTCCAGCCGTGGGGACTCAACCAGTCCCCCAGTACTGTCTCATCTGTTGCTAGAAACTCTGATTATGAGAGAGTTTTTCTTTCTGACTGACACAAATACTGTCCCCCTCTAATGTCTCTGCCCAACTCATGCTGGCTCTTCTCTCCTAAACCTGGTGAGTGAGCTCATTTCATCTTTTGTGTGGCAGCCCTTCAAAACTCAAAATCTCCTGTAGAATTATATATCATTTCATAGGTGGAGGAACTTCAGACATCATGCAGTCTTGTTACAGAAGAGGAAACTGAGGCCCAGAGAAGAAATGGAGAAATTAGTGTCAGAACTCCATTTTCCTCACTGTTGGTTGGGGATTTTGCAATGAATTATGTGAAGGAATGCCAGATCTGGTTGTGCAGCCCTCACACGGTGTGATTCCAGGGGTAACTCCTTTGCCTTTTAGTTTGTACGTGATGCCCTCAGGCACACAGTGCCCTGGCTGCTTGGCTTTATGCAAAGTATCTGTTGCTTTGATCTATACTTTGACCAAAAGCAAGAAAAAGGTCTCTTTATCCAGACCCACATGACAATAAGGGAATACAATATCTAAGGAAATGCTAAAGCTACTGGATCATGACTGCTTACCGTGTGCCAGGTGCCAGGCTAGGTGCTGTCCTTGCATTAGCTCACACTTGATGCTGTAGCCTAGGGCCTTGGTTGAGGATCCTGAACTGTCAGACCCTGAGTTTCAAAAGCATGGTTGCGCCACTCTGCTGCTATTTCGCTGAAGGCCAGATTGGGATAAATCACCACATCCTCTTGGACATTAATCAGTGAGCAAACCTTTCTTCCGCTTTCCTGAATGAAACAGATGGGAGCAAAGGGGAGAAAAATCTCTGCTTGGGGCTGGAACAGGTCTGGGCAAGGGAAGTCTGAGATCCACTGAGAGGCACAAGTGCCTGCCGCAGGGTGGGGGCCCCTGCTTCTTTGCCTGGATGGGGGCTTCGAGTATGCAGTGGAGGGTTGCTGCTGCTCTGACACCTGTGTGCAGGGCGCTTGGGGAGAGGCTGGGGAGGCGATTCCTTCCTCCTTCTCTGGATCCTGCCCCTACACCTTGCTTCAGTGTGAGGATCAGAGGCAGAAGCCAAAATAAATATCAACAGCCCTGACAGAGGGCAGGACTGTGTATCAGGAAACAGGGATTCAAAACCAAAACTTGGTATGGGACCTTGGGGAAAGACTGGGGCACAGTTTGCTCATCTGCAAAATGGGAAGGTGGGAGTGGTTCTGTACTTCTCAACCATTTGCCTTTTCTGGGCTGCCTTCTCTATTTCTGTTATTCTGCTTATCCTGTGATTTACTTACTTTTCTTTAAAGCAGTCCATCTTTTTCACTGAAAAAAAATATATGCATAGGAAATTTTTTTTTGTCACTATTGGGAAATGGAAAAGCAGCATCAGTTGCCGTAAATAGAAGGCAATTATAAAAATAAGATACAAAGAAAAATAAAATAACATGGGTCAAGTGTAGCTGGCAAAGACTGTGAGCTGGAGGCCTGGTGTCTTTTTATTAAATAGGGAGAGGTGGTAAAGACATCCTGGCTCCACATGGGGACTTTCTACTTGACATAAGGACCGAGAAAGAAGTAACTCTCAGTGTGGTGTCATTCAATGTTATTTAAATCCAAGTGCTTTTTCCACTGAAGTCCTTTTTCTACTAAAAGTATCTCTGCCTAGAAACAGTATATAATAGAATCCAGAGATCACTTGGGGACCCCTAAATTGGGTGAGCAGCAGCTCAGGTCCTAATGGAGGGTTGTAAAGTCTCCTCCGTGCGGTTACCTCCTTTGAGATCTGTATATGCCAATAGCAGCCTCTTAGTATCTACAATAATAATATCCATCTTGTATAAAATAAGTTGTATAAATTGTTACCTATGTACCTTTTCCATAATATACCATAAGGGTTTTGTCATCCTTTAGTTTAAAATGTATCCCTAAAACATCCTTTTTTTTTTTTTTCCAAACTGATCCTCATACAAAAAGGAAAAACAATATTTTCAGCAGAGGTCTAGTCTGAACATCTTACCTTTCTGAAAAAGGAAAGTCATATTCTGCCTCAGTCAGGACTAGGTCAGGGCAGCCCAGCCCTCACTTCTGAATATCCCCCGGCACCCCCATATGTTGGTTACACACCAGAAGCCTAATAGAAGTATGTTGATGAATTGATGATTGTGAGCTTCACAAGGGGAAAGGACTGTCATCTGTCAGTATCATCTATCATATATAAAGTACCTGTTTTCAGCAACAGTGCTGGGCGCCTTGTATATACTTCTTAAATATTCATTTTATGCAAAACTCTGTACACCCTGGCTTGTCCTGAGGGTCTCATTCAGATCTCAGTCGTCACATGTTTGTTTCTGTCTTGCTCAATGCTGAATCTACTTAGAATTATACAACAGCACAGATCCCTGAGGCCACTTTTACCCAAAATGTTATCATGAAAAAGTTCAAATTTACTGAGAAGAGTTTTACAGTGAGCATCTGTGCGCCCGCTACCTAGGTTATACCATTCACATGTTTTTGTTTTTGAGGCAGTTTCACATTGTTGCCCTGGGTAGAGTGCTGTGGCATCACAGCTCACAGCAACCTCTAACTCTTGGGCTTCAGCAATTCTCTTGCCTCAGCCTCCCATGTAGCTGGGACTGCAGGCGCCCGCCTCAATGCCCAGATCTTTTTTTTTTTTTTTTTTTAAAGAGATGAGGTCTTGCTCTGGCTCAGGCTGATCTTGGACCTGTGAGTTTAGGCATTCCACCTGCCTCGGCCTCCCACAGTGCTGGGATTACAGGTGAGAGCCGCTTCATATCTTTCTGCACTGGCTTTCTCTCATCTCGTCCCCCCCAGCCATTAATGCATATTGTTCTTGACACACTTATGGTGGCCTTTTGTTTGCAGATGAGGACACTGGCCCAAGGAGAGCCTATGAGAACACCACGGCTAACACATAGGGTGTCCAGCCAAAGCTGCTGGGTTTCAGTCTATACCACTTACTGTCCGTGTGACATGGGCCAAGTTACTGACCTCTCTGTGCCTCAGTGTCTTTACCTATAAGAGGGGACGATAGCCATATCTGCCTTGTAAATGTCATTAAGACTAAATGAGCTAATACAACACATGGTAAAATGACCAGTAAGCATTAGCCGATAGGATGCAGATTTGAATTTGATTCT